ATTTGCAATACGATTGGCATATTTTATCATTTGTTTCTTAATAAAAGAGTCAAGAGGTAATTTTCCCAATTCACTATATATTGCCATGATTGGTGTATTTTTTGAGATACCAAGAATGTACCGATAGTATGTAAGCTGAACATCCTCTACAATTGATTTTGTAGAGCTTTCTTCTCCCCAAATGTCACTCCCATACACAATAACTGGTCTGATAAGTTTATCAAATAGTGACAGTAGTATGGACATGTCCAGATTACCAGATCCAATTTTGGTCTTTAATGAGAATAAGGCTTTTATTCCTTTTCTTTTTAGGTTTTTCATTGCATCTTTAAATTTACCATTTGGACTCATAGTTAAGCCAAGATAATTGAAATCTTTAACTATATTGATTTCTTTTCCTTCATAAAAGAATATTTCCTTGTTAAGGAGTCTGTTACACTTATTGAATATCATTATTGAATATCATGATATATAGGGATATAACATACCCTGCTGCAGTCGACGTGATTGCAACTCATCAAGATGGACGAAGACCCGTCTATGCACAGACTGGAAGGTTCTAAATATCAAACAGGAGGATTGATTATAAAAAAGAAATCAAATGAAGGAAGCGGCGAAAGAATTCTTTTCAAAGTTCCTGACGCACCTCGACGATCGTTGCTTGGTCTTGATACACTTGCCGCGGAGAAAAAGAAAGAGAAAAGCGGTGATGGAGTAAAGAAATCCAGAGTGACGTCATATAAGCATGAATGGGATGAAAATGATGATGAAGACGAAGATGATGATAGCGATGAAGAAGAGGAAGATTACAAGAAATATGAAAAATATAGTTCTGGGTCATCAAAACACAGGTAATAGTATTTAGTGTGAAGACAGTGTACGGTTCACCACAGTCCCTCGAACTGTGGATTGACGTACGATTGGCGTACAAATGACGTACGATTGAAATACCAATAAATTTTCACAAATGTTTATATATAGCATTTTTTGTATAGGAAGATATTGTTCAACCAATTTTCTTTTGGAGAAAATCATGGATATAAATAGTCCCACAGTCAAGCTTACATCGGACGTCACGTGGGCTCAAACAAGTACATGTCTAAAACGGTATCAGGACGATCCGGCCCTGGTCGGTTGCGGCCCTGGTGAAAAAAAGACGTCCCGGCCCTGGTTTGGACGTTCCGGCCTCAAAACAGTTTGGTCGATCCGGCCCTGGTATAAATTATATTCGATACGTGTTCATATCTAATGTTAATATGTTAAATGCACAACGAATGATTGACTATCTTGTTTAACAACTTATTTTTTGTCTTTTGCAGGGAATTTTTACAGTTTCACACCATATTTTACACAATGCAGCATATGTTTTTCATTTACTCGCCGCCGCCTTTGTACTAAACACTGTATGCACATGGACGTGTGTGGCCCGCAGACAGATAACTTGAATACACATCTAATACAATCCGTTTCAGTCAGGGTTCAAATACACATTTGTAGTTTTTCGCGTAATGAATTATGTAGCAGTTTATGTAGGCAGACAAAATAGTTTTATTGGTCTATCAGTAAATAAACAAACTAACTGTTTCTGTGCACGTTGTGCTTCCGGTTGTTGAGCAATACATTTCAGTTCCGCTCAGGGTCCGCATTTTTTTTGTTCGATAATAAAAAAGTCAACCCATGTTACGGTACGTCGCATTATATCAGTCCCATTGATAATGAAAAAAATCACCCCATGTTACGGTACGTCGCATTATATCAGACCCACTGGTAATAAAATAATCACCCCATGTTACAGTATGTCGCATTATATCAGTCCCACTGATAATAAAACAATCACCCCATGTTACGGTACATTGCGTTATATCAGTCCCACTGATACATTGCGTTAAATCAGTCCCACTGATAATAAAACTATCACCCCATGTTACGGTACGTTGCGTTATATCAGTCCCTCTGATAATAAATAAATCGTTCCATGTTACAGTACGTCGCATTATATCAGTCCCACTGATAATAAAACAATTACCCTATGTTACGGTACATTGCGTTATATCAGTCCCATTGATAATAAAAAAAATACAGCCAAAACAAGGTCAGATTGGACGTTCAGTTGTGAGACATGACAAAAAAACACAGCCAGTGATACATTTCGAAAATAAAAATACTAAATAAACGCAATCAGAAGCGCCGACCACGTGCGTTGAAAATAAATAGAACGCGTGGTAATATAATTATGCTATTTCCCAACGCACTTATATTTAATACATTGACGAAAAACACTACAAGAAAAATGTAAATCAGGCTTGTAATTACTAGTAACTCAACTCGAACGCAATAATCATCACTGTAAAAGTGGATAAATTCGAACCAGCCAGCTAATAAGATGTCGTATTTTATCAGTCCAACTGATAATAAAAAAATCGTCCCATGTTATGGTACGTCGCATTATATTAGTCCCACTGATTATAACAAAAATCGTCCCATGTTACGGTACGTCGCATTATATTAGTCCCACTGATTATAACAAAAATCGTCCCATATTACGTCACGTCGCATTATATTAGTCCCAGTTATTATATAAATAACTCAAACTAGGCAAGGAAATGTGACAAATAAATTCAATTGAAAACAGCAGATTTAATGCTACATTTGCTGGCTACTAATCACGTTGATTAGAAAAATGGTACACTACACTTGTTTACTACATGTACATGTATTTAAATATTCATGTGTGCTTTGACACCTTGTCGCTGGAGTCAAGTGACCTGTTTGCTACACTCCTCATTACCATTTCAATGATTGTGTGTACTTTGACACCATGCCCGACCGGAAGATGTATTGTGCTAAAATGTAAGTGCATTGTGCTAAAATGTAAGTGTATAATTGGCTACATTCTTTCCATGAACTCTGATAAGTCCTACAAAAGGCGAAAAATAAGTTGTGAATAAGATAGTCATACATTCGTAGTGCATTTAATGTATTAACGTTCATTACTCGACAAACCACGAAAGTGCATTCGAACCCTGACAAAAACAGATTGTATTAGATGTGTATTCTATTGTCTGCGGTTCACGCAGGCGGTGAATAAATGAACATACATCTGTTGCACTGTCAAACACGGTGTTAAATCGTGAAAAATGCCCTGCAAAAGACGAAAAATAAGTTGTTAAACAAGATAGTCAGACATTCGTGTATTTAACATATTAACATTAGATACGAACACGTATCGAATATAATTTATACCAGGGCCAGATCGACCAAACTGTTTTGGGGCCGAAACATCTTTTTTTTACCAGGGTCACAACCGACCAGGGCCGGATCGTCTAGAAATCTATAAAACAGCCATAGAAACACACGAGAAAAGCATAAATATGTTTAGAAGAACTTGAATCATATGTAAGAAAATTATCACCACTTTGCTAAAAAACTGAAGAAATTATTGAAACATGGACATTGATGATGTTTTTATTTATATTGCCCTTTGACCTTCTTCCGTGCATGCGCAGATGCATCAAGAAACTGTCATGCGCACTATGGAAGTATTTATAACCTTAGTTTCCATGGAAAATACTAAATTGATTCCTATTTTCACGGAGAAAAATATATTTGAGAAAGATGTCATGTTGTACGGCAGCACGAAAGTGCGCGGCTCAAAAAATATATTTATGACTTGAAAGTTCAATCGGTAAGAGGGCGTCAGCTGAGAGTATCAGGGCGCTGCGCCCCTGTTCCTCGGTTTAGGAAAAACCCTGAAATACGAAAAATATAGTTCTGGATCATTAAAATACAGGTTATAGTATTTAGTAATAAAAAACAAACAAAAAAACATGTAATTAAAGAATGCCAACAGGCTCCAGTGCTAAAAACTAGGCAAGCTACAAATTTAGGTCGCTACATATTCAGGAGAGAAAACTTACTAGAACATTATTTCGTTAATATTCATGTGTTGTGTGTGCACTTGCAGATTTGCAATTTGTAAAAATAAATTCCATACAAAACACCCAAAAAGTCTTTTCAGCGAAAATTAAATTCCAGCTAAAATAAAGTATTTCACAGTATAGGACAGAAACGTGTTTCCACCATTTTGGATTTTGCAAAGGACTATGGGTTGAAAATTGAATCATTTCGGGTGCTTTGAATTTAACTTTATGCATGAATTAATTAACATCTTAATTCAGCTACAGTGCCAACAATCTTATTGTGAAAATGTACTTTATTTTAAATTAGTCACATTTTGAATTAGCGAACATAAAGATTAACTAAAATAACATGCTAGTAAAAAAGACATGTTTTACATAAGGTAGAGATGCAGTTTACCTGACACATATTTTAATTAGTTAATTAGGAAACCAAGATGACCTCCCTTGTTCACAAAACTATATATTTTCGGAAAGCTTATTGTATGAATTTTAAAATTTTGTTAGCATTTTTTTTATGGACACTGTAGTTTGAAATATGCACAAAAATTTGCTTTTTTGGTCAAAAGTGATTAAAAAATAATTAGATCCTAAACTATGCTTCTGTAAGGAACATGTAAGTGTTTATCTGATTTCAATTCACACTCTTTCGAAACTGATTTAAAATTAACTAAAACATTTTTAGTAGACAAAGAAGATGGTTGTTTTTTCCACTGTGAAAAATAATAAAACATAACTTAGATGAATGATTGGAAATGAGATACACTTACCTATCTCTACAGTTTTTACAGATAGACAGATTAGAGATTAAAACTCTAAAAACTATATTTTATTTTATTTTTCTATCGATATATATTGAAAGAAATGTATATTTCTAAAGATGCAATAAACAGTTATTATTATTATGCATATTCTATGATAACTTCATATATCAGGCTCAAAATAGAACCTGGATATTTACAGAGGAAAATTTAGGTAAAATTTGTACCAGCTCTCTGAACTCTGGACTTATAGCATTTATAAAGAAAAAAAACATTCTATCTAACTTCCCGTCTGTCTGTCCGCAGTCATATCTCAGAATCCTTTGTACCGATTCTGTTCATTCTTTGCATGTGCCTAGTACTTTATGTGGGACATATGCACATGCAGTGGTTTAGCGATTCGATTCAAAATGGCCGACTGGCAGCCATCTTGTTTTTTGAAAATGTTATATTTTGGACATGCTTTGTCAGTTTTCATTCAAATTTAGTACATAAATTATACATGTTAGAATACATGTTCTCCGACTGTCCGTGAGTCCGTGTCTAGTACTTTATGTGGGACATAATGCACATGCAGTGGTTTAGCGATTCGATTCAAAATGGCCGACTGGCAGCTATCTTGTTTTTTGAAAATGTTGTATTTTGGACATGCTTTGTCAGTTTTCATTCTAACTTTGTACATACTTTATACATGTTAGAATACATGTCCAGGACAATTTGTTGCAAAATCAGATCAAGGATGGCCGATTGACAGCCATCTGACTTTTTGGCCTTACTACTATATTTCCAAGATTTATGGACCATTTTCATTCATATGCTATGTATTAAACCAGAGGGGTCATCACACAACAAATGTTCGAATTTGATGTGAATAAACAATCTGTGGTATACACCACTTTCAAGGACACGCTCGCAACAACCCCTTCGCTTTAATATGACGAGCACAAAGAGAACTTTCAAAAATTTAACGGCGACTGTCATTTTCAATGACTTGTTATTTTTATGAATCAAATAGGACAAAACATTTTTCTTTGAAGGAAAGGAAATTAATATTGTCAAAAAATCAATTATCTTGGTCTAATTATCAGTGTAAACGGTAGATTTAAAGAAGGTATAAACAACAGTTATGTATAAGACATGTTCATCTTTCATTCTGCAGATTTGTAGTTGGCATGTCTGTAAACAGAATTGCTACGAATAGTGAACTGGAGAGATACCCAGTTGACGTATTCATTAAGAATAATTAATCAAATCATTAATAGATTCAGTAACTCATCAAATATATAACTGAAGGATGCCATCAGTATTAATAGAAACAACAACAACAAATGGTTTCAAAAATTCAGTACTGGTAGTATTGTTTATAACCAAATTATATTTTCAAGTGAGATTATTTCAACATCATGCATGAGTTCACAAGAAATTATTTGAAAAAAAGTGGGAAAATGATATGCATATTAATGACAATTGAAAGCAAATTGGTTCCTCTAATAAGTTAAGGACATACAGAATGTTTAAGAACAAGTTTAAAATCGAAACTGCCAGACATAAACAGATTGCAGTTAACTCTAGAACATATGATCAATGTACACAAAACAAAGTTAAAGATGAAAAACAATATGTTATGAATTTCTTAGCATACAGGGCACATAGACAGGAATTATTGATTCTGAATTCAATCAACATTATAGTGCAATATTATTGATTCTGCAAATCAGAGATCTGCAAATATGTAGAAGAGCTGGTGTCATGTCTGATCCTTGTGTACATCCTTGGTTCACATACAGATCTATTTTGTTGTCCTGGATTAGTTTCAATATCTCCACTAAGGACAAGAGTACTTCTCATATGACAATGATACAAATAAAGTGCAAGAATCCAGAAAAATATTGTCAAGTTTTTATTATCATACATTTATACTAACAAATCGTGTGAAATTGAACTCCTATGTACAGAGAAACACATTTATGCTTTGAATTCATATTTTAGTACAATTATTTATTTCCATTATGATTATATATATGAGCAACAAACATATGTTACTTCCCATATGTCAATTCATTAAGCCAGTTTTAATACCAGACAGTAATTTTGTTTTGAATTAAGTAGTTCTTTATGTGTCAGTCTTGAATCTTTGTGATGGTATTTTAGTCATTTCTGGTATATTTAGTGTCATTAAATTTATTATTTTCAGATATTAGGATTTTTATCGTCACAGAAGACCTACATTGTATGGTTCCTCCCATAGACTTGCGCATCACAAATGTGCGATGTCATTTGTGGATTTTTACTTAGAAATAATCATATAACTTCATTGATTACAGACATTACCGAGCACCTAGAGTTGAAACACCATCCCATCCAGGAGGAGTAAGTGAAGAGATTAGAGATAAACTGCACAGAAAACTAAAAGATAGGGAATCCAGAGGTGTGTACGCATCATCTAAGGACACTGAGAAAGACAACAAGTATAGAGATAGAGACAGGGATAGAAGGAAAGAAAAAGGTACTGTACGGTAGTAGTTTCTCTTGTACCTGTTTTTAAAAATCCAGCTGTTCTATATATTTTCCCTCATTCAACAACAACACTGGACAATAAGCTAGACAATAGTGGCTCAAATGCTGATGTTGTGCCTTTAATTAATTTGATCAGATTTATACCTCACTGTCTACATGATTACATGATATTAATGTCCACTCTTCATATATTACACATAAACATGTCAAACTTTACATTAGTAGCATATCTCAAATTTTTATTTTTTTATGTTGTACCGTACTTCTAATAGAGCAAGAAACATTATTTATTATTGTGATAATTTTCTACCATTAATATGCACTATGCAAAGTAAGAGTGGATGAACTTATGTGTACCATAAAAACTCACCTACATGTAATTCAACCACCTAATTATTTAACAGATTTTTATAATTTATTAGTCCCCGTTCGGACAAAGTCCGAAAACGGGGACTTATAATTTGGTCTCCGTCCGTGCGTCCGTCCAGAGTCATATCTCAGAATCCCTTGGACCAATTCCGTTCATTCTTTGCATGTGCCTAGTACCTTATTTGGGACATATGCACATGCAGTGGTTTAGCGATTCAATTCAAAATGGCCGACTGGCAGCCATCTTGGTTTTTGAAAATGTTGTATTTTGGACATGCTTTGTCAGTTTTCATTCAAACTTGGTACATAGATTATACATGTTAAGATGCATGTCCATGACGATTTATTTCACAATTGGATCAAAGATTATCAACTGGCAGGCATCTTGTTTTGGTTTTTTTATGCGGTATCTTGAACGTGCTCTGTCAGTTTTCATTCAAATTTGGCACATACATGTAATTTATACATGTTAGGATGCATTTCCATGACAATTTGTTTCAAAATCTGGTCAAAGATGGCCGATTGACAGCCATCTGACTTTTTGGCCTTACTACTATATTTCCACAATTTATGTACTAGTTTTATTGGTACATGTATTTGGCACATACATCATACATATCAGTGTGTTTCATAATCTGATCGAAGATGGCCAAATAACGGCTGTTTTTATTTTTGGCCATACTACTACTACACGGAACACGTGTTTTGATGTAAATAAACAATCTATTGTATACGCCACTTGGAACTCAAGTTTCAAGGACACGCTCGCGACAACCCTTCTGCTTTATTATGACAAGCACAAAGAGAACTTTCAAAAATTTGACGGGGACTGTGTCATTTTCAATGACTTGTTGACTTCTATAATTTTCACCGATCACAGAATTGTGCTGTTTTGTTTTCCAAAATTTCGTCCACCTAAGATTTTTATTTTGGAACAATGGTTTGACTCTAATTTAGGCTTTAATTAATGAAAACTGTTGAACTGACAGTCATGTCAATACAAAAAAATATTGTTTCTTTGGTTGCTATGAAATACTGGTACACTTCATACTCGTAAGTTAGTACTCTTGTGAACACATTTTTTAGAACACTTGATCGTTTCTATATCCAGCATGTTCTCTTGATCACGAATTGACCTACCATGGTGACCTTTGACCTGATAGGTCAAGAATGCCATTAACCAATCAGAATGCTACTAGAAGTACTACCGACAGTTTCCAAATATTTGTGATTGTATAACACATTGCGGAAGTGAAAAATGATTATCAATGTTTGTATTGATTTTGCTTTTTTTAAATAGGCAACTCATTTCATAATGATATTAAATGGATGTAAATCGTTTTAGGCAATGAAACTTGTGGTATTCGTAAGTGGTTGTGTTTTGATGTTGATTTCTGACAACTAATGATGCACAAAGTATGGCATTTAATGTTTTTGTATTCACTGAATTTTACTCTAATTGTTTGAAAGGTTACAAAGGTAGATATGAAAGAGAACGAGATAAACACTACACGTATAACAGAAATGCAGACATGAGGTCTGAAAGAAGCTATAATAGGAGTAGTCGGAGCAGAGATGAGCCATCCTCACCAAGACACAAGCCAAGAGGTAACCAATATTTTACTTTCCTTAGGCTGGTTTCTCAATTGTTTCCAAAGAAAGAAGGTCATTTTCTTAATGTTAGGAGAGAAAATATTCTTCTTGAGTAAGGAGATGAATGCCAATAGTCAGGCAATATTATTGTTATTATCAGGGATTGCGTTAACCCCATATTTTGCTTCCCTGACTCCAATTATTAAAGAGGAACCCAGTTTTTCAGGCAAGCTGAGGTCCAATCTCTAATAAGGTTATCTAGGATAAAATTTCTTTTTTTTTAAATTTTGTAAGTGGGACTCGTCTTGCCAAGACACTAGCGCAAACCCTGTATTATGTCCCTCATAGTCAATACATGGAAAGGTTACCCTTCGAAACGTTTCAGACTGGTTTTGTTCAACAATTTTCTCCAACTTTGATGAATTTTAATTTCGAAACAGGTAATTTATGTTTGCATACCGGTACAT